ACGGGCCAGCAGGGGGGCCCGCCCGAATCGGGGGGGGGCTGACGGAAAGAGAAGGCGCGGAGGCCAGCGAGCCGCGCAAACATTCCACCCCGCCAGGAACGCGGGCGACGAACGCGGACGACCGGGGGTCGGGGCGCGCCGTCTCTGTGGCCTGCGCCAGGCCGCTGGGGGCCACTAAGTACTCGTAGCGCACGGGATCGCTAGCGCCGAGGCACGCGTGCCTGCCCGTCTCCGCGAACTTGGCCATAAGATCCTGCACGAACTCGCACTGCTGCAGCACATCGGGCTCGTTGTTAAAATCACCGACAATGATGAGAGGCATCCCGCCGAGTGAGGCGTCGGATCCAAGCTGTCCCAAGACGTCGAGGCTTTCGGTGTCCAATCCCACAGAGTCACGGAGATACATGGACGAGCCGAGGATCGGTTGACCCCTGAGAGGATGGACCACGCCGATAACAGCCCTACGAGGGGGAGCACTGCGACCCTCGGGCGGGGGGTGGAGGCCAAGCCAGGCCCTCGCCAGAATGACCGCCCCACTAGAAAGGCCTCCGCAGGCCCCCACCTTCCCAGGAGCCCAAAGAGACTCCCAGCGATTGATCATGCACCGCACGGGCGCCAGATCAACCGGATCCCCAGCCCAAAGCGATGCTCCTGGATCAAAACGACGTGGGACGAGCACGTCGGCTGCCATTCCTTCGTAGAAAACCAAGACTTCCCGTTTACTGTCAACCTCCGAAGCGACCTGATCAATTGGGAGAGCCTCGGGGGCCATGGCGACATCGAAAAAGAAATGCCCCCAAGCGCCCCCCAGCGCTCCCAGGCGCCCCTCGGCGCTTCCAAGCGCTCACAGGCGCCCCCAGGCGCTCCCGCGCGCCCCCGAGCGGTTCCAGGCGCGCCCAAGAGCGCTTCCATCGGCTCCCAGGCGCCCCCAGGCGCTCTCGGGCGCTCCCAAGCGCTCCCAGGCGCTCCCAGACGCCCCCAGGCGCTCCTCGGCGCTCCCAAGCAAGCGCTCCCATGCGATCCCAAGCGTTCCCAAGCGCTCCCATGCGCTTCCAAGCGGTTCCATGCGCTCCGAGACGCCCCCAGGCGCCCCCAAGCGCTTCGAGCGCCCCCAGACGCCCCAGCAGCTCCCAGGCGCGCCACGGAGCGCCCAGGGCGTCCCACACCTGCTTTGGCGTGTGAATTCGTCAAAAAACGCATCGGCTTGTCATACCTGGGATTTCAACAAGCAGCGTCAGAAGCGCTGACCGCCAGGTTTAGGGCGCTCTCTTCTACGAGAACCAAGGGGAGTTTATGTTCGAAGCGCGAATCCCCAAAGCGGGGGGCAGCCCAGGGCTGCATTGGCGAACCAATCGGGCTACCTGCTGAAGAATCTCAGAGAAGCCCTCGTCTCTCTCAGACGGCGACAGTGATGCGCGGCGGGTGAATAGATGCACGCCGAGGTGCTTGGGAATGTAAAGCTTAGTGTCCGAGCAGCAGCGGCCAAGGGGCTGCGCCTACCTCGTGGGCCCTGCTGCTCGGACACGGGATACAAGTTCCCCGGCGTCACCGCCAGCGACGCCCTCTGCGGGCGCGGCAGGCTCGGCGGAAGGCTGAGGGCCAGAAGCTGATCCTGAACGCGGAGCCTCAGAGCGCGCGCCGCCATCGTCTCCTGGTGCTCCACCCGCGCCAGCAGCGCGGCCGTCAAGAGGGCCGCCAGCCGCGCGCCACTGCTTGTGCTCTAAACGCGCGGTCTGGGCGTCGTGCCGCCCCTTGGCCTCCTCGGCTGCAATCGCAGCCTGGGCGAACAGATCCTTGGCCATGCCCTGCTCCGACTGCAAGAGGGCGTCGCAGCGCTTGTTGAGTTCCGCAAGGTTATCCAGGCCGTAGTCATCCGGAACCTTGAACAAAGAGCCCAGGTCGATATCGAACGAATCCAGCTTTCCGTCCATGGGAGTAGCCGCAGGCGGAATCGAGACCTCTCCGCGCGCCCTGGCACTGGCCACTTGCTGCGCCAACTCGTCGTAGATGTTGTCCACCTGCTCCAGCTCCGCGCGCAGGGTCCCTAGAGTATTCGCTGCGCCTGCATGTGCGACTCCAGGGCTGCAGCTCTCTTCATCTCGTTTACCCACGCGATGACCGTGCTTGAGCCGCTCGCGCTGCGCGCGCGCCGGCTGCTTCTCCAAGCCGACGTTTGGCGCCGTCGGGGGGCGACGAGAAGCCAGGGCAACGCGGGCGCGGCCGGCGCCCTCAGTCACGCCCAGTTTCTCGATGAGGGAAACCAGCGCCTCGTTGGAGAGGCCGCCCAGCTGCTCGCCCCCGCCAGCAGCCGCTGCCGCTGCCCGCCCTTCGCCCTGGAGCCCTGGGGGCCGAGCTTCGCCGGGAGGGGCGAAGACTGCGAGGCTCGAGCCACCTGGCCAGGCACCTCTCGCCGCGGCGAAGGCCTGGTCGCGGAGCGAATCGCAGCGCTGTCAGAAATATTACGCGGGCTCGCTCCCCCTGCACGCGCACTCGCTGCAAATCCACTCGCCGCCGCCGCCGCCGTCCACGCGAGGGCGAAGCCGCCGGCAGCGCCGGGAAGCTGCGGCCCAGACGAGAGGGCGGGCTAGCGCTCCTGCCCAGGCGGGGCGCGGCCTCCATTGCGCCGCCTCGCGGCGGCGAGCTCGACCGGCCAGCGAGCCGCGGCGCGCGCGCCGCCGCCCCCGCCGCCCTCGCCAGCCACGACCCCTGCGAAGAAAGCGCGATGGCGAGAGCCTCGGGGGCCGGAAGGAAACGCTCGCGGGCTGAGCGGCCGCGGACCGCATCGAAAGCCAAACAAGCCTGCAACAGCATCGTGACGTTCTGAAGAGACCCCGCTGCAAGCGCAGGCAAAACCAAGGCCAGAACGGCTAGGAGAAGGAAGGTCGATTGAGCTCTCGGGCCTGTCTGGGGTCACTGGACTACCCCTAGCGCAGTGAGCTTTTAAAAACTGTAGTGCGTCCTAGCTGTGGTCACTTCCTGGAAAGGGGGGCGCTGGCGCCGCGGGGCGCTCGGGCCCTGCCCGCGCCGACCTCCCCGCGCAGGGGTCCGCGGGCAGGGTAGCACCCGCGTTTGCTGGTGCCCTCTCGCGTTCTCCTCTCCACCCCCCCCTCCCCCCTCGGCCCTCGCTTTTCGCGTGGGTTCGGGGGGGGAGAGGTCGGTGCGCTACATGGTACTCAGGGAAGCGTGGCCCATGGAATTGGAAGATGGGAGGAGCCTCGGTGGGCGGCGGAGAAGGAAGCTCATCTTCCCTGAGTAACTGTCGGGATCGCTCGGTGGTTCGAAAAGCCCGAGGCACTGCGATGGGGGCAGCGTCGGAAGAGCGCAGCTGCACAAAATGCTCGCGGTCACTCTCACGGCCTTCGGCCTCGCCCTCACTGTGGCCCTTCCCTGGCCTCTGCGTTCTGGTATCCTGCTGCAGGGCGCCCGCTGGTGTCGCACAGCACTGATATGTGCCCCGTCGGCCACTATCTGATGCTGCACCAACTGGCGTCGCACAGAACTGATTTGTCCAGTAGGTCCCTGTTGGAAGCTGCGCCTGCTGGCGTCGCACAAGACTGATCGGTGTCCACTCGGCCATTCTCTGTCGTATTGCTTACGCCTAGCTCCCTCTCGATGGCCCCACGCGGCGCTGCTCCCAATTTCCTGTTCGCCCCTTCCTTCTTGAACTGCTCGACTACCACCGTCTCCAGCTGATGGTACGTGTGATGCATCTGGAACTGGAACCTGCACTTCCCCTGCGCCCCGTTGCCGGCCTCCTTCCCCTTGTTGCGCTTGCCGCGGAACACGGACACTGACGATGTTCCGATCTCCGCGTTGCCATTCAGCACGCAATACGTGTAATATTTGTCGGGTAGGTCTCGCTCGGCCCCTGCCTCTTGCACGCGGCCCGGGTCGATTTGCACCTCTGTCCAAATCTTCACGCGCGGGCTGCCCAGCGATGCGGTGTCAACGTTCTCCCCGTTGGTTGCCCTCCTGCGCAGGTCCTGGGCCGCGTCGTTGTAGTCCTTGCCTGCTGTCAGCCCAACCTTGGCCACCGCGGCGTTGTCGTCGAATTCCCGCGACTGGATCACCGCGGAGGCGAATTCTGCTTGTCCTCGCGCCAAGGTGAGGGCCAGCCTGGCTGTGAGATCCACCACCTGCGCGTTGGCTGGCTGCCCTCCTCCCGCTGCTCCCGCTGCGCCTCCTCCCGCCTGCGGCCTCCTCGGCTGCCAGCTGCGATGTGGTCGCGGTGGGCCTCCTGGTGCCGGTGCGGCCTGCGCCCACTGCGGGCGCCGATCGAGAAGGGCCATCTCTGTCGCGCGGTCGGAGTATCCGTTTCGGGAGGTGCGTCGTCAAATGCTGAAAGTAGGCCCCCTGATCCGAAGCTGGATGGCTACAGAGAGGGCAAGTCGTTCCAGGAGCTGTCGTTTCGCATTGGTTCAGTGTTCCAGCAGGATTGCAGCTTCCACCCAACATGCTCCTGGCCAGGTGTTTCCATGCGGTTCCTCGGTTCGTGAACATCTGAAGACAATGTTGTATGCATTGGTTGTTCGTAGTAAGGAGGGCCGCGAGGTTATGTATGTGGTGCGACCTGATGATGTGGCTATGTATCGGTTTCTTGCTGGCGAACAACACACCGCATTCGTCACCGTTTTCTCTTAGCTCGTTTTTTCTTGGAGGTTGGAGGTCTCGTAGAGCCGTTTCTTCTGGCTCTTCGTTGTTTTGTGCCTGCCCAGGAGGAGGAACTGAAACGGTGAGTTTTGTTGCTTGTACTTCTCTAGGGTCTAGTTGGTGTAGTGGTTCCCTAGTTTCGAGCGCGAATATGTTCCCGATCTTGACGTTGGAAAGAGAGGAGGAAGAGGAGGGGGAGGAGGAGGGTGACGAAGGGGAAGGGGGAAGGCGGCCTGAAGGCATCCAAGAAGGCTTCTCGGTAGTCGCGAGGGCTTCCGAGGAGCCACCAAACCTTCCCATCACGCCGCACCCGCTCACGGCAACCCTTCTCCGTGCGCCGACCCGGCGTCCCGTTGCCGAGCTCGGCGAGCTTCGTCTCCATCTCGTTCACGAGGGCCTCGAACGCGCCCTCCTCGGCACCGGCTGGCTAGCCGTGGCCACCACCCCTCTCGCCTCCCGACCCGCTCTCCCAAGGACACCGCTCTCGCGCCAGGTCGCGCTTGGACCGCCCCCGGGATCCCGAAAGCGGGCCCTCAGAGGGCCGAAAGGATGCGAGCCGTTACGCTGGATGGAACAGTAATCGCCCCCCGCCTTGAATCCGCTGGGGGTGTTGGGGACGCGCTGTCCGCACGGGTGGACGGGTGGTTGGAGGAAGAGGAGGATGAGGAGGATGAGGAGGGGGAGGAGGACGGAGGGGGCGGGATTGGGCGAGCTCAGTCGAGACGTGAATCACCCCCCACTTGATACATACCCCGTCCAGAGTGGCCGATCCCGGAAGCCTCTTGGATATAAACCTTAGCTTTAGGTCCATCGTGTCCCCCTACAGGCGGGCTTTGGACGAACACGTCAGTCAGAGCTCCAAGATTAACCCAAAACATGGAACAGATCGTCCCCGTGCTGTTTTTACTGTTTTCGAACCTTCCTCTTGCAGAGGGACGCGCCCGACTTAGCCTTAGCTGACGCACTACGTGTCGCCACGGCGCCCTCTGCCGACCTTCCGCTGGCGGACCCCGCCGCCGCTCTGCTTCCGCCAGCCTGCCCGTCGGCGGCGAGGCGAGCCGAAGGCGAGGCCCTTTTTGGGAGCGCCTCATTGCTGTTCAAAAGGCTTCGGAGGCATCGGGGGGGTGGGAACGGTCAGGAGGCACGCGCAGAGGAGGAGGAGGAGGGGGAGGGGGAGGAGGGGGAGGAGGAGGAGGAGGAGGAGGAGGAGGAGGAGGAGGAGGAGGAGGAGGAGGAAGAGGAGGAGGAGGAGGAGGAGGAGGAGGAGGAGGAGGAGGATCAGTGCCACGCAGGTCGGACTGCTGACCTTCCAGAGGCGAGGCCGCTTCTAGAACCTCCAACGCGGCTCCCGAGCCCCGGGTCGGCGGGAGGGCATGGGCTGGTCCCCATCGGCGCCGGAAGCCCCAGCCATTAGTCACTCACCATCGCTCGGACGCTCGTTCCCCGTGCATGTATCGGCTCATTGAATCTTATCCTTCGCAGGATGGTCCAAGAAGCTCCCCGATGGCCCTCGCCGAGAAAAAAAAGGGCACACGCCCGAGCGATGTAAAAATTGCGGAAGGTTCGTGCCGTGTCGTGTCGGCGTGGCGGCGACCCCGCCGTGGGCGTTCGGGGTTGAACGTCGCCGGTGGCCCAGCATCGGCCAACATGGAGCGATCTATATACACATATAAACACACATATATACACATGTATGCGAGTACACACAGATATACATATGTGTACATCTATATGTATACATATATACATATATATATATATATATATATATATACGTGTGTAGATCGATCGAGAGGCCGCGGATCGATCAGGGTCGACTGGTTCACGCGGCGTCACGAGGCGACGCCGGGGTCGTCACGATACGAATCCGCCGTGTCCTCAGATCTGACGTGGCGGGGAAAATGGCAGCATCGCGAGAGCCCACGACCGAAGCCCGGGACCCTGTCGTCATGCGGGGCTGTTTCGAGCCGGCCAGGTCTGTGCCGGGCGGGCCCCGTGGCCCGAGACGAGGCAAAGTCGCCCGTTGTAAAAAGACTTGCGGCGCCAAGATCTCGGGGCCCACCGTGCCAAGACTAGAGGCAAGCGTCAGCGATCCGCGGCACGGCCCATCCGGGGCCCATCGATCGGTGTCGGCGGCGAGCGAGGGGGGGAAGTGGGAAGGAGGAGGCCTTCCTCAGAGGGCGGCGGGGCTTCTCAGAAGCCTCCCAGCCTTCTGAGAGGTTTTCTGTGTCTTCGGGAAGGGCATAAAAATTTGTCAGAAGGCCGGGGGACGTCCGAGCCTTCTGAGAAGGCCCGCACCCTCTCAGTTCCCGCCTCGATCGCCGCCGACGGTGTACGCGAGGGCAGCTGTGTTCGCACTTCTCGCCTGGCGAAGTGCGAACCGCGAATCACTCCGCGCCGTCGCGCAGCCCTCCCGGGGCGGAGAAGAGGACAAGGAAGAGGAAAGATGCGCTTCGACGGAGAGGGGAGATGCCGAGGACGGCCACGGCGGCGGCGAGTAGAGTGCGGAGGGGCGAGGGCGAGGGCGGAGACGGGGCGCGAGGAGGGGTGGGGGCACGAAGGGGCGAGAACGTCGAGGGCGAGGAGGGGCGACGAAGGGCGTCGAGCTGTCGAGGGGCTTCGAGGACGACGACGTCGAGGACGAGGGCGCCGAAGACGAGGAACCGCAAACCGCGAACCGCGAACTGCTTCGTTCCCTCGTGGCGGCCCCTGTGCGTGATGCTTGCCCGGCAGGCCAGGGCCGTCGCGACACGAGGACCCCCATGGCGTGCGCGAGCCGACGCCTGCGAGGGCACATCCGCTCCGGGCGGCTCCTCCTTCAGCCGGCGGCGCGCCTTGACCTCCACGGCGCCGCCGCCCTGCCGGGAGCGCCATGGGCGCCAGTCGTCGCCGTCGTCGTTGTCGTCGTCGTCGTCGTCGTTGTCTTCGTCGTCGTCGTCGCCGCCGACGAGGTCGCAGCCGCCGTCGTGTCGTCGCCGCCGCCGCAACCGCCGCCACCGTCGTCATCGCAACGTCGCAGTGTCACTGTCAGCGATCGATCGATCGATGATCGAGGTTCTGGACCTTTCTTTGTCTCCGGCCGAAGCCTCCGCGGATGCGTCGGGGAACCCCCAGAGATCTCCGGAGGCCTCCGTCGTCGTCGTCGTCGTTGTCGTCGTCGTCGTCCACCTCATCCTCCTCCTCCTCCTCGTCCTCCTCCTCCTCCTCCTCCTCGTCGTCGTCCTCCTCCTCCTCGTCGTCGTCGTCGTCCCCCGATGCCGCCGCACCTGCGGCAGCACCATGGGCCCCGTGCCGCCGGACGGCGCCCCCGACCACGCCATGCTGCGCGCGCGGCCTCCCCGGGGGGCCGAGGCCACTCCCTGCGCGCGCGCGGTCCCCGCCCTGGCTCGATCCGCGCGCGCCGCGGCTCCAGGTTCGAGGTTCGAGGCTCCGTGGGACGCGCAGAGACATACACTAGTACCATATGTCCACCTTGGGAGCGCGAGTCGAACCCGAACATATACTCCACCCGTCTTGTAGTACATCGTTCCCCAGCGGCGTGGCCAGAACGCGCCGGCCACGACGCATGTACTATGAGGACCCCAGGAAGCTGATGCGCCATCTTCACGAGCAGATGGCCCTACGCTCTCGAACTGCCTGAGCTTGGGCCCGGACTGTCTCCTCGAAGCTCCCTGCAGGCCCCTCCGCAGCACGCGTTACCTTCCGCTCGCCGAGCCAGCAGCGCCCCGCCGGCCCCACCAGAGGCAAGGCCGACGATCAGCGCGGCCGTCGAGCATGCCAGGACGAGACCCCAACACGAAGGCTCGGGCACCGGTCCACCCGCGCCCGCACTTTTTGGTCGGCGGGGCGAGAGCGAACCTCTTCCGCTGAAAGCTAGGCGGGCGACGCTCAAGCCCGCGCCCGCACAGACGCGGGCAGGGATCGCGGGGAAGGGGAGCTGCGGCGCGCAAGGCCCACAGCTCGGCGATGCCGCGCGCGCCACCACGGAGGCTCCCACGGTCTGAGCCCCGTGTGGCAGGGCCTCGGAGAGTGAGAGGGCGACAGCTTGAGTGCAAGTCGCACAGGTTTAGACCTGAGCCGCAGTGGTTGCGGTACGCACCATTACAACGATCAAAACACTCAGCAATCAGTTGTATGATGCTGATGCTGATGCTGATGCTGATGCTGATGCTGATGCTGATGCTGATGCTGATGCTGATGCTGATTATGATGCTGATGATGTTGATGTTGATGATGATGACGATGATGGTGATGATGATGATGGTGATGATGATGATGGTGATGGTAATGATGATGATGATGATGATGATGATGATGATGATGGTGATTATGATGTTGATGATGGTGATGACAAGGAGGATGCCGATGCTGCTGCTGCTGATGATGATGGTGGTGATGATGAGGCTGATAATGATCATGGTGGTGGTGGTGATGTTGGTAGCCAATAAATGGAACTTCAATAACACCGATGGACGGTCGTTTGTTCAAGCCGCAACCGTGACAAAAGTGAAGCTGCTGGCTGCCAGGGGCTCACCTACCCCACGCTTGTGAGCTCACTGGCTTAGCCTCCTTGGGCAAGCAACAGGCTGCGGAAGGGACATTCACGGCAACAGCGTGTCGAAGCCTGTTGACGGCTCATGACACATTGCATCGGAGGTTGGGGGGTGAGATCGCAGTGAAACGGAGACCCCCCACCAGGAAATCCGTTTCGGTTTCGTGTTCGTGTCGCGCGTGCGGGCGAGGCGAACCTGCGCGTGATCCCCAGCTAGGCCGAAGTAGGAGCGAAAGTCCGGGTGCCCAGCAGCCGGTGGCTGGGACTGGGCCCGCGGTGTCCCGCCGGTGTCCCGTGGTGTCCCGCGGTGTCCCGTCCGCCGGTGGCTGGGACTGGGCCCGCGGTGTCCCGGCGGTGTCCCGTGGTGTCCCGTGGTGCCCCGTTGGGTGAGATCGATCGTGAGATCGACAGTAAGATCGATACTGAGATCGATGTGGTGCCCCGAGGTGTCCCGTGGTGTCCCGTGGTGTCCCGCTGAGTGAGATCGACAATGAGATCGACAATGAGATCGATAGTGAGATCGATAGTGAGATCGACAGGTGTCCCGAGGTGTCCCGTGGTGTCCCGTTGAGTGAGATCGATAATGAGACCGATCGTGAGATCGATGTGGTGTCCCGCGGAGTCCCGTGGTGTCCCGTGGTGTCCCGTGGTGTCCCGTTGAGTGAGATCGATAATGAGATCGATAGTGAGATCGACAAGTGTCCCGTGGTGTCCCGTGGTGTCCCGTTGAGTGAGATCGAGAGTGAGATCGATCGAGTCAGATGTTGGCTCCCCCCTCTCCCCCCCCCACAACCTCCTTATCACCCGAAGGGTGGTCGTATAGGTAAGGCCTATATCACCCTTCCAACCCAACTGGCCAATAATTTACACCTGACCGCTTGAAAGCGCCATCGTGAATCGTACAATTGTACGAATCCACCTTGGAAACGAAGTGAACCCCCCTGCCATCGAGGAAAGACGCAGGCGAACTGAGAAGCAGCAGCCCCAAATCGGTTGACCAGGGCGATCGCTCTCCCAGGTTGACCCTTCACACCACTTAGGAGGGAACGTGAGGACCAGAAACATGTCCCGCACTCGTGGGAACACAAAATTATGTAGATCCACGTGGTCGGAAGGGGCTGCCAGCCGTGAGCGCATCTGAGATTCGACTGCTGGGCTCAGATGCTGACATATGAACCTTCAACTCAAATGTACTGGACTCCGCGTCTTGAGACCTCTTGCAGAGCCTGCGGAATCTAGCAATCAGTGCAGCTGGCAACGACTGGTGGACGGAAGGGTGGTGCAGTGATTCGTGGCGTACCGGCACTCACTGGGACGAGACCTCACTATGCAACATCAATTCGATGTTGTTCGCTCAGGCGTCAATACATGTTGATCGGTTCTGGAGCTCACCGTCGAAGAACACGGTCGACATCGTCATTGCGTTCTCATCACAAACATGAGCAACCCAATGTACGTTATGATACCATCGGAATCAACAGTATCATCATTTCAACATTACCATTGCCAACGCGAGTAGCATCATACTCATCATCACAACCATCATCATCAACACCATCAGCATGATCAGCATCATCACCACCGTGATTATCATCACCATCGTGATCATCATCATCATCATCATCACCATCATCATCATCATCATCACCACTACTCCCGTCTGATGGCACGCAATATGAATTCGTTCATTTGCGCGGGAGAACCTACCACCGCGGACAATGAGCGCCACATTGGGCGAATTAAAATATCATGCGAGCGACCCCTAGAAGCGAAGAGCTCGAAACCAATTTTTCCATGAGCCTCCGAAACCATGGATGAAACATTGCGCTGAGCCCCCCACGGCGGAATTGTACACAAAGTCCCCCTCCCTGAAAAGGAGTGAATTGTTTTGGCTGTTGAAACTCAAGCTGCCAGTGTAGTTCTGGCTGTTCAAGATCAAACTGCCAGTGTAGTCCAGTGTGATAAGTTCTGGGAACTTGAACATGCAAGCAGTTAGCCCGTACTGGTCGTCATAATTTGGGTTATCGCCGCTCCTAGCATAATTATCATGGCCGTCGTTACCAAATCTGCCCTCTGTGCTGCGGAAGTCGTACGAGACCCGCCCCATTTCCAACATACAGGCGAGAACCTTCACCATGTGCTCCGGCGGGCCCACCAACCAACCGCTGTTCACGTGACGGACATCCTTACGATCGCCATGCTCGAAAATAGATTTCCCCTTCAACTGGAACGCATCCAAGACATGATCTCGGCGCTCATCAAACGTGCCATAATTGAAGTCATCTGTTGGCGGCCAGATATCACGCTGCACACCCGCGACGACAGGAGCACCACCAGAGGACACGGAGATCTTGGTGTACCGTTTGACGAGCTCTTCGTTGCTGCACCCTCCAAAGGCCATGTCAAATTCATCCATGACGACTAAGAGAGTGTCGTTGACACCCTGGTCGACCAACTGGGAGGCCTTCTCCCAATCCGCCGCCGTGCCTGCACGATATCGGAGCGTTGCAGAATGCCTACTGGACGCCTGGCAAGGGCTCTGACTTGTTCTGACTTGTTCGATTGGCGACCCCACTCCTCGACTCGAACAGTCGAACACCAAATTCCCCAGCATTGTTCTCTGGAGCACTCTTCGGCCTCGGGGCAGCAGCAAGAGGCACCAAGGCCACCCCGAGACGACTGCCGACACCAGCTCAAGACGGCCCACGGCCCTCCTCCAAAGGCTCCAAGATGACTCCAAGACAACAAGCTACACGAAGCACCCCAAGAGGCGTCAAAGCAGGCTACCAGCAGGCATTGGAAACAAACAACAACACCACCAACAACAGCAACAACAACAATAACAACAACAAGGGCCCCGGTACAGCCCAACGATACCAAGGGCCCCGGTACAGCCCAACGATACCAAGGCGGCCGAAACAGGCCCAAGAGATCTCCAAGCCCTCACAAAACGGCCCAGGGCCGAAGAGGGCTCCGACGGGCCGCTGCGGGAGAACAAGACTGAATCATCGAGCGCAAGACGTCGCCAAGGCCCCCACCAGGCTTCAGAAGGCATTCGATCGGGGCCCAAAACGCCACCCAGAGCTCCCAAAGAAGTCACCAACAAGCCTCACCAAGACGTCTTCCAAATGAGGGAGGAAGAGGAGCAAGCAAGAAGTAAGAGATGAGAAGGAGGAGGAGGAGTGCAAGGAGAGGTACGAGGCTGAGGACAAGAAGGGGGAGTATCAAACAGGCGCCGGTTCAGACTGTGCGCTAAACTGGAGCGGGTCCTGGAGTCCTCGCCCTCCTCCTCCTCCTCCCTGCTACGCTACAGCGCCGGCGCGGTAGCGGAAGCTGCCGCAAGCAATTTGATACTTTTGCACCTTGGTGTTGAAGCCCGTCCACTCTGCGCCAGCGCAGACGTTCTCAACGTGTTTGCCGCCACCGACACCTTTCAAGGTCACACTGGTGTCTGCTGACCGCGTGTTGCATGTCGCCAGCGTCGGTCCTCTCGTAAACCGCGACGGCTTCGGCGCCACCACGTCGTACTGTGCCCAGCAACCGTTGTTGACGTGCGTGCAGTTGCTGCCCCGTAGGTGGCACAGCTTGGCTCCGTCGCACGATTTCTGGTAACCGAATCCTTTGCACCCTGGTGTCTTCTGACATGAAGCTGAGCACTCTTCGAGGGATACGCTGTGTAAGCTGCCCAGCCCAATGTCGTCCCAGTTGTCGCAGCCGGTGTTCGGATGCTCCACAGTGGCAGCCATCGGCGTTGGCGACACCATGACGTGCTGCGCCATGCAGCTGTTCTCGCGATGCGTGCAGTTGCCGCTCCAGAGCTTACACAGCCGAGCTGGGTCACATGATTCCTGGTAGCCGAATCCTGTGCAACCTGGCTTCTCCTGGCAAGCAGCGGCACACTCGCCGACGGACACGCTGTGTAATCCGACCAGCCCTCTGGGCGTAGGTGGTTTAACGGGCTTTGTCTTCTCTCCGCCGAGATCCCTCCTTCCCCTGCTCGGGGGAAGGGCTTACCCCTCCGCCTGCCCCCTCCCCTGGGTTTGAACGGGGCGCCACGCGAGGTGTCAGAGGGTGCTTTTCGGTCCAAGATTGGCCCCAAGAGGGCCTCAGAGAGCCAAAGATGGCCAACAATATGGCCCAAGATAACCAAACATGATTCAAGAAAGCCTCCGACATGCCGCTAAGAGGCCCCAAAACAGCCTCAAGACGCTTCCAAGTGCCCTTCGGCCCTTCCTGGGCACCCTCCAGGAGACCCAAGTCATTAAAAAACCTGGGGAAATCTAATGAATTGTGTTTCTCGTCTTTTCGCATCCGACGGGCTCTTGAGGCTTCCAGATGGCCCCAAGACGGCCCAAGAGAGGCCCAAGAGGGCCCCACGAAGGCCCAAAGTCCCAAGAGCGCCCCAGGAGGATCCCAAGAGGCCATTTTTGAGCCTCCGAGGGGTGGGGCTGAATTTGTTCTCCCCCATCTATTTGAGCCATGGGAGCCAAGACTCCAATGAGCCCCAAGAGGGTCCCCAACCCCCCAAACTGAGCCTCAAGAGGGCCCTAAGAGTGCCACAAGAGGCCCCACGGGGTCCCTAAGAGAGCCCCTACGATGGCATTGGCCTTAGTCGTCCATCAACTCTCACAACGATATAACTCCAAAGCCCGACTTCTCATCCCTCTTGTCAACGTCCCTTTCTTCCCTCTTCCGTTCCTGCTGCCATCCCTTTTCCTCATAGATTTGTTTCTCCCTGTCGCACCCCGAGGCCGGTTGAAAAGGCGTTTCTCCTGAGACTTCCTCACAACGTGTGACCCCGATGCTTGAAAACTCACGAGAGCTTCACAGATGGAGGGCGGATGGTTTTCAAAATGTGGCTGTCGCTGTAGCGCCGCGCACATTTGTTTCAAACCTAGCAAGACTTTGATGGATTGGAGCGGCCCGTTTTCAAAATATGGCTCTCGCCTGAGCACCGCACACATTCGGTTCCAACATTTGCAAATACTTCACGGATTGAGGGCGGGCCGTTTTCAAAATGTGGCTCTCGCCGTAGCGCCGCGCACCGTCGTTTTCAACATGTGCAAAAGCTTCACGGATTGAGGGCGGGCCGTTTTCAAAATGTGGGTCTCGCCTTAGAGCCGCCGTATCCGTTTTCAAAATTTGCAAGAGCTTCACGGATTGAGGGCGGCTCGTTTTCAAAATGTGGCTCTCGCCTGAGAGCCGAGCATATCCGTTTTCAACCGTTGCAAGAGTTTTACGGATTGAGGGCGGGCTGTTTTCAAAATGTGGGTCTCGTCTCAGCGCCGTGCACATTCGTTTGCAACATGTGCAAGAGCTGCACGGATTGAGGGCGGAATGTGGCTTTCGATTTAGTGCCACGCACATTCGCTTACACATTTGCAAGAGCTTCACTGCTTCTCATGGTTAACGGACCATAACATGCGTTTTGGAGCGAATCAGGACTGTCATGGCGCATCAGTTAAGTTGATTCGCGGAGTTGAAGTCCGAAGAATGGTGTTCTGGCACGACTCCAGATCGCCAACGCGTAACAGTCAGGTCAACTCGTGGCGTTGAAATCCTGAATGGTGTTCTGGCACGCTTCAAGATGCTCACACGGTTGTCGCCCAACGGGGCACTTTCATCAGTTGAAGTGCCCCCTTGTAGGGGCTTATAAAGAGGGATCTCGGAGGGAGATGAGTCTTGGGTTTGCACTGGTCCCATTCCTCCTTCGCCCCCTCATCTTCCTCCTTATCTTCCCCGCGCCACATTTCCCCTCCTCCTCATCCTCCTCCTTCTCCTCCTCCCCGTCCCCCTGCTCCTCCTTCTCTCTCTCTCTCTTCCTCCTCCTCCTCTTCCTCTGTCTACCTCGAAGATGGTCCCAGGCAGTCGAGCATGGTTCAATATAGCCTCCGACAGACATCCAAGAGGCTTCAAGACAGCCTCAAGATGATCCAAGAAAGTTGAGCATTGCTCAGGATAGCCTCCGACATTCTCTAGCCGAACATGGCTCGAGACAGCCTCCAAGAGGCCTCAAGAAAACCTCCGGTCGTAACTGGATGGGCTGGCGGGGATACTTTTTTTCGTCGGCGGTGCCAGGGCGAAGGACATGGAGCGGGTCAACTGGTGGGGGACACGCGAAACGTCAAAGATTGGCCAAACTGGATGTCCCGCCAATTTTCGCAACCGGTGCTCCGATGCTCCACAGTCGCCGCGATTGGTGTTGGCGACACCATGACGTGGTGTGCCATGCAGCTGTTCTCGCGATGCGTGCAGTTGCCGCTCCAGAGCCTGCACAGCCCAGCCGGCTCGCACGACTCCTGGTAGCCGAATCCCGTGCAGCCCGGCTGCAGCCTGCAGGCAACGGCACACTCGCTGGGGGACGTGCTGTTCAGTTCGCCCGACAAAATGTCCTGCCAGTTCTCGCACCCGGTGCCCCGATGCTCAACAGTTTTCAGGACCGCGCCCTTCCCCTGGGAGCGAAAGCCCTGGCCACGGGGCGCCGCCTGCATCGCCCACGACGCGGCCAGCGCGGCCAGCCCGAGCAGCCCGAACACTGGCTTCCAGCACCCCCAGGCTTGCCGTGCTCGCCTGCCGTCAGGCGCTGGTTCCAACGGACCACCTGCCAGGGAGATCTGCTCGTCGAGGCAGTCATCAGGCACCGCCCCCGCCTGGCGCGGCGCCGCGCCCAGATCCCTGTTGCCGAGGAGGCGAAGCATCCCTCGGCCGTTTCTCGGCCTCCGCGAGCCTCTCTCCCTGACCAGCACCTTGAGCCAATCGGCAAAGGATCTAACGTATGCAGCATGAAAGGGATACAACCAGCCTTCGTGATTGGATACGTGCAAGCTCTTGCGTTCGAGCCGTGTAGCTCTAAAGGGCCGGAAACAATGACAACGCGCTGCGAGTGCTCGCTGGTCGGGCGGAATCTGGTGCTGGCAGAAACATGAAGTAACAGATCGTTTCAAGTGCAAGGCGCTTGAAGCATATTACCACCTGGGGTGTCAGTACTGCCTACTTCCTGCGACCGATGTGCGCAGTTGAAAAGAGCTGTCGCAGACCCAGCGGTGCCACACTGAGCCCAAACCATCAACCAAACCGTTCACTTCCAGCAAGCGTGGCGTGTCCGCGACGCCCCCTGCCCTACCTCTCTCCCTCCTGACCACCCTTCAAAGAAGCCCGAATAGTCACGTGTCGGGCGTCGGGCGGAAGACGTCTAGCTGAACACCCCAAGTAAGAGGACTTTTAACGCACAATCGGGAGTAAATAGAGAGTACACGCGAGAGGACACACGACACTTCCGAGGGCCACATTGCCATAGGAATGTAAAGGCATGGGTCGCGAAACGCAGGACACAAGGGTACACTTGATTTGACAAGAACACCTACAAGTCAACCTCGAGTGTAGATCTGGCTGCGGCCCAGCCCTGAAACAGGAAGGAACAGGAAAGTAAATTGAAGGCGCCTGGAAGCCATATCAAAATCTGATATTCCAAGACGACTTACTTGTGACGACCGGCGAGCACGCAGGGGACCAGAACTCTCGACAAGAGGCTCCCAAAATGGAGTCCGATTCTACGGGGTCGGAGGATCATGCCGCATCGCCTGCGCATCGCCTACGCATCGCCGCTGCATCGTCGATGCATCGGCTCCGTCGGCGTGGAGAAAATTGTGCTCCATATCGAGCCGCATCGCCGATGCATCGGCGATGCGGAGATCCTCCGACCCGATCCACCCGGACCCCGCCTGGGAGTCCTGGGACTTGACACGCCAAGGCGACTCACTTGCAATGACCGGCCGAGGGGCTCCGTTGCAGTGGGCATCTTAGAGCTGGAATCGGCTCTCTGATCGTGCGGGTATCGGGAAGCCGGTGCCATCACCAAAACGCCACTGGAAGACTTGGGCGCAGAGATCAGCCAACGCCAAAACCGGCCACCAAACGCGAGAGGTACGTCCGTCCTCCTCCTCCTCCTCTTCTCATTCTCCTCCTCTGCTTGTTCTTCGTCCTCTTCCTGTATTCTTCCTGGTGGTGGCGCTGGCGTTCCTCCCCCTATCCTTCTCTTCCTCCTTCCCACGGTTCCCCCCTCCCCTCCTCATTCCCGTTCCTGCTGTCCCATTCCCGCTCCTGCTGTTCCACCTCTGCTCGTTGATTGCTGCCCTCGCCCTCCTACGCATCCCAAGCTCTGTCGTGGGCACCACCCCTTTGCTCCTCCCCGCCCTCCGTCCCTCCGCCACGAACTTGTCACGTTAGTCCACCATCCTCCTCCTCATCCTCCCCCGCCTCCCCCACTCCTCGTCATCCCTCGCTCCGCCTCCTCGTCCTCCTCGTCCTCGTCTTCCTCATCCACTTGTGCACCTTCTTCCTCACGTGTTCCTTTCACCATCGGTGCGCGAGTGTGGATACTACGTACTACGTCTGATGGAAACGTATTACAAACAAAAAAAAACCGGGCGCACCCCCCCGCACAGCCTGCACCCCCCCCCTCCAAGAAAATAAGCATGACGACCCCTCGCGCGGGAGCCAGTGCCATCATCAAAAAAATGATAATGTCTCGAGCGGCAGTCGTGGGCAAGACAAGGGATTCAGGGACCTCCAACTGGGAAGCCAGTAAAAAAACATCACCAAATGATCAGGAAATCCGCACGTGCCGAGCATGCCACTCACACCCAGAGAACCTCCTTCCTTGACATCCCCATCCCTCCCTTCCTTCACTCCCTCCCGCCCTCCCTCCCCCCAAAATGCCACTCACCATCCCCAACTGGGCTGACAGCTGCCGCGCCAGGTGGTCCAGCCAGCTTCGCTGAGACATCCTCGCAAATCTGCCTTGTCCTTAGGTGATCCAGCCAATGTCTCCTCAAACATCCTCGCAACCACTGGCTCGCAAATGCCATGATCCGAACAATTTCGCCCGACATATACTCGCAACTCTGGGCTCGGAGATTCCCTGACCTAAAACTGTCCGGCTAATTATGCCTGAGACATCCTCGAAACTCTGGGATCGGAGATACCCTGGCCTGCGGTGATCCAGCGAGTCCGCCCGACATATACTCGCAACTCCCAGCTCGGAGATGACCTGACCTGAGGCTCTCTGGCCAATTTCGCCTGAATCTTCTGTGCAGCTCTGGTCTCACAGTTGTTGTGGCCTGAGGTGGTCCAGCTGACCATCCTAAACTGTGGTGGTCTGACCGGTGTAGCCTGGGACATCATCGCAACTCCTGGCTCATATATGCCATGGTCTAGCCAATTTCGCCTGAGAGATTCTCACAACTCTGGGTGCGGAGATGCCTGGCCAGAGGTGGTCTGGCCAATCTCGCTGGAGGCATTCGCGCAACTCGGGGCGTACAGATGCCATGGCCTGAGGCGGTCCAGCCAATTTCTCGGTGGTGTCCTCCTTAGGACCCACCTTAACTCCACTCTTTCCGGCTTCACGAAGGGGTCGGCGGATGTGGCGTAAGCCGATTGAATCCACGTCCGGAGGTGACGTGTTGCCGGAGGCAGGTCCGCGGAGGCTATAATGCAACTTATCCAATGTATCCAATGATTGCATAATTGCTGCATATTATATTCTGTTGCATTATTATGTACCCCCCCTACCCCCCCCCCAGGGGCCACACCACTTCCGCCGACCCAAAGTGGCCCCTCCCTCCTGCGCCTCAAAAACCTACCAAAACCGATAGGAAATCAATGAGTTGGGCCTGTTGGCCCTCTTGGGGGTCCAACAGGGCCTCAAGACGGCCCGAGATGGCCCCAAGACGGCCCACGACGGCCCCAAGACGGCCCAAGATGGCCCCAAGAGGGCCTAGAAAGACCCCAAGACGCCCCAAGAGACCATGGATTTTCCCTTGGCTTTCTAAAGAGTTCAGCGTTCCCGCCTACTTCGACTCTCAGACGTCCAGGACGGCCGAAACAGCATCCGAAGTGGCCTCCAGACGGCCAAAGAAGCCCTCTAGAGAGCCCCAAAACGGCCCAAGAGGGCCCCCAGGCAGCCCAAAGAGGCCGCCGAGATGCACCAAGAAGCTCCCAAGACGGCCCAAGAGTACCCCAAGACAGTCTCCGAAGGGACCAGACAGCGCAAGAGCGCCCCCAAGACGCGCACACGGGGCTCCGAGAGGCCCCCAAGAGGCCTCCCAGAGGCCCCCAAGAGGCCTCCCAGACGCCCCCGCGAGGACCCAAGAGGCCCAAAGAGGCCTCCAATGGGCCCCCAAGAAGTTCCCAGAGGCCCGACAACGACTGGACTGTACGTGCTCCGGACGTACACCCCGCGAAGCGAGAGGAATCTACGTCTGGAGGTGACGTGCTACGCGGCAGCGTTTTCCGGCGAACGCCATACATGCAACGTGTCCAATGTGTCTGATGATAACATACTTGCTACATATTGTAATGTGTTACATGTGAATGTCTGCCCCCTAACCCCACAGGGGCCACGCCAAATCCACCGACCCAAAAATGGTGGACCCCTTCTCGGCTTCAAAAAACCTCCAAACCGATGGAAAAGCTATGATTTGGGCCCCGCGGCCCTCCCGGGAGCCCAAGAAGGCGTCAAAATGGCTCACGATGGGCTCCAGACGGCCCACGACGGCCCCGAGACAATCCAAGATGGCCCCAAGAGGGCACAAAAAGCACCCAAGACGGCCCAAAAGGGCCCCCAGAGAAGCCCCAATAGCGCCTCCGCAAGCCCAAATCATTGATTCCCCACAAGGGTTTTGAAGGATTTTCTCGTTCTCGCTTTTTTCGATTCCTGACGACCCAAGCAGCCTCCAAATTCGCCCCATGACGGCTCAAGAAACGCCTGAGAGGACCCCACGACGGCCACAAAGGGCCCCGAGACGGCCCAAAGAGGTCCCCAAGACGGCCCAAGGGCCCCCCAAGACGACCCAAGAGGACCCCAAAGAGAGCCCCCAAGCGGCCGCGAGAGGCCCCAAATACGGCCTCCGCAGGGGCCAAACGGCGCAACAGCGCCAAATACGGCTCAAGACGCCCCCAAGAAACCCAATGAGACCCCCAAAAAGTCCCGTAAGAGACTCCAGAGAACCACCAAAACGACTTGACTGTACGTTCTCCGGACGTGCACCCCGCGAAGCGAGAGGAATCGATTCAGTATGCGAGGGCAGGCTTCCAAACACCATGGCCCTCGAAATTGCGGATAAGAGCGAGGAGGCGGCAGCGGGGGTGGTCGGCAGTCTGCGAGGCTCGAAACAAAATCTCGAGAAGCCACGCCGCAGGCGCCGATCTTATGCACGTTACACCAAGGGCCCGTAGCAGGCGCCGAAATTTCGTCAAAGCAACATGGGTCGGTCGCGAGTAGGTCGCGGGTGGGTCGCGGGCTGGTCGCTTGCGAGACGACCACAACGAACAGCAAGCAACACCACAACAAGAACCCGCACAGCGGAATCACATCCCCACCACACCCCCAGGGACGGTGTAAGGCCGCTCGGCCCCCTCACTCGGATTAACCTTCAGTGGGGATATATATATATGTATACACACAGAGAGAAAGAGAGACTAGAGCCATCGCGCGCGCTTCGCGCGCGCGTTCAAGTTCTAGCTAGGCTTGATAGGCGAACACATGGAATATCATCCTTCCCGTTTCTGGCATCCAAGGACTCTCTTGGAGGCCCTGCGCAAGCCTTGGAATCGCATAGAAGGTGAACTGCGGAAACGCAGAAATCATTAATTGCAGTTAGGTGTTCAACGATGTGGGGCCCGCGAAGGCTTCCTGGGCTCCTTTCTCGGGCCTTAATTGTTGTCTGTTGTGCAAGACTAGTCAAGGGCGGCAAACTGGGAAAAAACGGAATGGTGGGATTTCCCTTTTTTTCAGGTTGCAGTGCCTGGGCTGTGGGTTTGACGTTTTCTGCATGCAGGCCGCGG